CCCCCCCCCATGACCACTGCACTGGCTCTGAAAGAAGCACCTGGGCCTGCGAGTCAGATGAAGGGAAGGGTTCCCAGGAAGTGGGATTGGCATCTGCAGAGCTCAGAGGTGAGAAGCTGAACGTGACCGAAGTGGGCGCGTGTTGTGTGCACGGCTGCGTCCATGAGCGGTAGAGGACACTAGCGGTGGGTGGGGAAGGGTGACCGAAGACAGGTCGTGAGGAGCCTTGAACGCCCAGCAAAGCTTGCATTTTGATCTCGAGGACGCTCCTTTCGCCTGGGGAGGTGGAAGTGGAGGCTCACTCCTGCGCACCTGTACTCCTTATCTGAGGTTGAGAACAGTGGGCGCGCTTCCCCACACTCGGTCTCTCTGTCTTGTCCATGTGGCTGGACCCTAAGGGCCTGGAGAAGGTGGGCTAGAACGATAGAGGGAGCTTTGGGGAAGGACCCGGCGGGGGCAGACACAAACCCTTGTGTCCAGCCCTTGAGACTGAGAAGATTAGTTGTAGTAGTTATTATTATTCGTTAGTGGACCGTGGCCTGCCCTGTGTTGACAAACACAGGGAGGCACTGTGGACCCCACCACCATGGACGCAGCGGGCCTACTCTGCCAGACCCCTCACATTTCCTTGCCCCAGGCCTGAGGATCGGGGCCTTCACAGACTCGAAGTGACTCGCCCAAAGCCACCACTGCTGGCCGGTGACAGAACAGGGACCCGACCTGCTCAGTCTGGTTCTAAAGTGTCTCTCTTGGCAGGACTCGTCAGAGTCGCTGGTCAAATGCAAGATGATTTTGGTGTTGTGCGGATGGGGAAGTTCGCGTGAATAGCTTCGGATGTATTTATGTGGGGAGTGGAATACACATACAAACCGCCTAGGGAACCAGTGATGTCATGGCTAGTCCTGCTTAGGAGGATGAGACTTAAGGCAAAACGAAACACAAGTTATGTGATCACCCCTGCTCAGAGCAGCGCAGCTCACGGTAGCCGCAAGGTGGAGAAGACCCCCGGTCCACCAGGGGGCGCTGGACAAGTCAGATGCGGTGCGGACTGAGCGAGAGCCACTCAGCCATAGAGAGGAAGAGAGCAGCTCTGGGGTGGGCTTGGCATGGGTGAGCCTTGAAAGCATGCGACTAAGCGATGCAAGCTAGACACAAGACAGCAGACACCGTGTGTCCCCACTGAAAGAACTATCTGGACCGAGCAGATGCATAGGGACAAGAGTAGATTAAAAAGCGCAAACAACAATCCTACTGTCATCAGACCCGTGGCGACCCTATAGACGGAGGCGAACTGCCCCTGTGGGTTTCCAAGTCTGTGGCTACTTTCAGGAGAAAGCCTCATCTTTCGCTTGAGGAGCCGCGGGTGGTTTCAAACTGCTGAGCTTGCGGTCAGCAGCCTGATGTGTAGTCGGTCACAGTTTAGCCTTTTGAGAAGCAGATGGGTTTTGAGAAGTAGGTGGTTGGCCACCAGGGCCGAGAGGGACAGGGGACTGGGGGTGGGGAGTCATTACTTACTGGACTCTGAGTTGCTCTTCGGAAACGGGGTGGTGACCGTTACACAACATGGTGGACGCCACTAGGGCCCCTGGATGGCACCCTGAAAATTGGTTAAAATTGGTTAAAAAGGCACATTTAGCTTGGGCACGTTTTACCACCACGCGTCTGTCGCTGTGCTGCACTGTCGTGGCTTCGGGTTGCTTGACGCTGGGAGCTCTGCCACTAGCATTTCAAACGCCAGCAGGCTCACCCGTGGCGGACCACTTTCTGCGCCGCTTCCGGACAAGACAGACTTCCCAAAGTTCCCTTGAAAACCGCGCGGGACACAAGAAAGCAGGGACAACTTTGGACTCGTTATGCAGAGCCGCGGCTCACCGAACCTCACGCTCGGTGGAGGAGAGGGCCGGCCGGCCGGGGAGGCCCTTGGGGCCTGGCACGGTGGCTGCAAGAATGGTGACGTTCTTTTCTGCTGCTGCCCACAGGGTCACCGCTCCACGGCTGCTGACAGCAACACCGGAGCGCAGGGCAGTTGTTGAGGCAGCGAGCTCGTTTAGAGTGAACGGAAATGCTGGAGGAGTTGACTGACAGTACATGTGGACGCGCACGTAGCAGCAGCCCAGGAGACGGAGCCCTAAACGTGGGCGCGCACGTAGCAGGAGCCCTGGAGATGGAGCAGTTAAACTTGGACGTGCACGTAGCAGGAGCCTGGGGGATGGAGCGGGAAACGTGGGCGCGCACGTAGCAGGAGCCCTGGGGATGGAGTAGTAAACGTCGGCCCCGCACGTAGCAGGAGCCCAGCCTACTGAGGTGTCCTGTGCCGGGTGGGCCTCTCGCAGTAGGAGAGTGAGGTCAAGGCCAGAGCTTAGGAAGCACTGGAGTGGGAGTCCTGAGTCCTAGCCAGGGGACCGCACTGACCGCGCCCAGGGCCTCCCCCTTTATCTTCCACGAAACCCTGGAGGCTTTGCGTTTTTGCTGAGAAAACAGAAAGCGAGGGAGCAGCGGCCGCCTCCCCGACTTGCCAGCAGCTCTGAAGGGGGACCCGCTAGCGTGTTCCCCTGGGGCCAATCCATACTTGATGCGCAGTTCCTGATTTTGGTTCCCCGGGCAAAGCGCTTCACATTTCAGAAACACAAATATTGCTTTTCTTTCCTCAACGTAGGCGCTGAACCTCCCCCAGCTCCCCAGCCAGCTCCAGCGAGGGAACGCTGCAGCCCGTCGCCCAGCATCCTGACTACGTACCTGCTGCATATTTCTGTGGAGAAGCCAACCCAGGGAAGGCGCCTGTGTGCCCCCGGGGAGGCCATAGAACTGCCATTCAGGGCCGGGGCTGAAAGAGCTGCTTCAGGGGCCCGGCTGCCCCCCCTACCTCCAGCATGTTGTGTACCCAGCTGCAGACACAGCCCTGCCGTTGCTCTTCCTCGGACACCTCCGCAACAGCCACGGTCCGGTGCCGGCCCCACGCTGCCCCATATCGGTTTTACGAGGAATTGGAGCCAGTGCACAATGGCTCTTTCATTCCCTTCATTTCTTCACCGACTCACTCCATACCCTGAGCCAGGCCCCATGCTGGGTGCTGGGATTCAGTGGTGTTGGGGGTGGGGTGGGGTGGGGACAAGCGAGTCCCCTGCCTTGAGATGCCGGCACTCTGCCCGGAGTGCACGCATCAGACCATTCTGGGAAGTGACGAACCGGCTTTGCTCTCACATAGCATTTCTGGAGAAGAGAGTTAGATGGACCATCGGAATGACAAGGTCTGGGAACCGGGAAGGGGTGGGATCACGGACAAATGCCACCCAAAGGGGAGCAAGCCGGGGCCGCGGTTTCCTATCCCACAGTGAGGGGCGCAGAGGGCGATGCGGCTGCAGTTTCACATGTGCCCTCGACCTACAGCTGGCTCTCTGTGCCTCAGTCTCCTCATCTGACAAATGGGCAGGAGTCTGGGATCTGCTGGCCTGACAGGCTTGTTGAGAGAACACAGGGGATTGGAAAGCATCGAGGGGCTGAGCCTCGGCAAGGGGGGCAGACGGTCATCGCCGCCACAGCAAGGGTTGTGGGAGCTGCTGCCTACGTCTGCTGGGCCCACAAGCCCTTGAACATATGTCAGTGCATTTGCTTTTGTTGGGGCCTGCTTTCCAGAGACTGAAATGCAGAGATCTCCAGGGGCCCCGTTCTGTCCTTTGACTGCACAACTGTCCTCTCACAGCACCCCAGGCCAGCCCGGAGCTTCCCTTCTTGTTAGGTTGCACTCTCTAGAAAACAAGGACACCCGCTTGTCTGTACCCGTAATAAGAGGCCCATATCAGGGAATGGCTCATAGGGAAGTCCAGTCTGACTCAAGCCAGGCTTCTCCTGCATCGTGGAAGCTGGTGAACAGAAAGCAGGATGACAAAGTAGAGACAGCAGGGGGCACAGGCTGGTCGATGCGGAGGCCCTAAATCGGCTGAATGAATTCACTGTCAGTAGTGAGCTGATGGCTCCTGGGATCCGCAGGCCACTCTACAGGAGATGGAGACACTAGATGTAAGATGTAGCTCTGGCAGAAGGATTCGACCCTGCTCAGGCTCTCTCTCTCAACAAGGTTTATGACACTCAGGAGGTGTTATCAGGCTGCAACATAATTGATAGGTTGAGCTCCACTCCTACCCCGACCTAGGCATGTCTAGTTGACATAACCCCTAGCCATCCCATCTTCCCACTGCATAACGACAGGGTGAGGCTCAGCGAGGCTAACGCACCAGCTCTTGGTCACACAGCCAATCAGCAGCAGAGGTGGATTTGAACCTGCGTCTCTCAGGCAGCCAAGCCTGTGACCTTTCTGCTCTATCTTGACTAGACCTGGCAGCAACAGTCCTCGCTGGCCATGCCCACTTCTTTGTAAGCTTCCTCCAGACAGACCCTGGCCAGGGCCCAGGGTGCAGAGAGGACTCGATCAGACACTCTCCAGCTCTTGGGTGAGACAGGCAATGCATGGAAGCAGAAGGAGGGACTTATCAGGGTGAGGCTGGGAAAGAGGTGCACCTGAATGCTTCAGGTCTGAAACCGACCTCACCTGTGGCTCAACTTTCAGCCAGGCCTGTAAGGTGACCGGGAGCCCTGGTGGCTCAGTGGTTACGCGTGGGGCTGCTAGCCACAAGGTCAGCAGTTTGAAACCATCGGCCGCTCTGCGTGAGAAAGGTGAGGACTTGGGTAAAGAGCTCGGTGTTTCAGAAACCCACAGGGGCCCTTCCACCCTGTCCTATCAGGTCACCGATGAGTCGGAATCAGAATCGCCTTGCGGGGAGGTATGCATTCAATGCCTGCCTTACAGCAGGTAAAGGGCAGCATTTGCCCAGGGGTACATGGAGGAGGAGGAGGAGGGTAGGTGGAGACCTGAAGGGTGACTGGGAAGTGTGAGAAGGCACCTGGAGGGCCGGCAGACTGCCCAGCTACACTGGGGATGCCAATGAATCAGCACAAAAGAGCGTATGAATCGTGGAGTGGGAAATGCATTTGTCCTGTGAGCTTTTGTCCACTCCACAGTGAAAAGTAAAAATCCCAACATCCTATCAACACAAGTGCTCAGAGCAGAGAAACTCCAAGGAGCGAGCACACCTCTGCCCAGGCATACCGAGTGGCCCTGAGTTGGAACTAAAGTAGGATCCACTTGACAGCCATTGGGGTTTTTGTTTTTTTTTTTGGGTAAATCCTGGGCTTGGGGAGCCCCCACCCTACCTGAGATTCCCTGAATTCCAGAAGCAGCTCTGGTTGCTTGGGAAGGCAAAGGAGCCCTTGTGGTCTGAGGGGCCTCTGGAGCCCTGGCCAGGTGGCACCGCCCTCTCAGGCACACACACACCTCCATTCAGCCCAGTCCCGCCCCTGGAGGGGGTGGGCAGGGCCAGCTGCCCCCATGTCACCTGGGGGTGGGGGTGGGGGCTGCCTGGCTGGGAGGTTGGGCAGGCAGCGAGGTTGATAAGAGCCGGCCCCCCGCATCCCCCCACCATTGTGTCCACTGCTGCCTGACCAGCCAGAACCATGGGGACCATCTCTGGTGCCAGCCTTGTGCTTGGTGGTCTGCTGCTGCTGCTGCTCCAGGCCCCAGGCATCCTCGGCCTGACCCCCCAGCCCAGAGGTGAGGAGGCTCGAGTGAATGGGGGTCCTGGGGAAGCCGCCCGTGGTCTGCAGCCTGGGGGCTGTGCACTGACATGGCAGAAACCAAAGGGGACCTGGGGCTGGCAGGAAGGCAGGAGGGTGACGGGGTGGGGACAGCAAATTGTCACAGGAACAGAGATGGGGACAGGGACAAGAGCAGGGCAGAGGTGACCCTTAGTGTATCTGGTTGGGGGACGTGGGTATACCTCTCTCTGGAGCCCTCAAACCTTCTCTGGGGCTCCCTACCTTCTCTGGGGACCATGTGTACTGGGGGACGGTGGTCCCTGAAGCTACCAGGAGCAGAAGCTGTGCCTGAGGCTGTTGGCATAGGGAACTGTCCGGGCCCAGGGCAGTGTTCTTCGCTGTTTGACCTGGGAGCCAAGAGCTAGCCTCATCTCCAGCCAGTGGGCACCTCTCAGGACTGGGCTCCCGGGGGCCACAGCACCTTTGGAGGTTCAGCCTGGGGCATTGACCCCAGACTGCCCAGTACTTCTTGTGCAGATGAGGATGCTGAGAATGGAGGGAAGACCATCTACATGCACCCAGGGAGTTCCCGGAGTCTGTGCAGGGCCAATTCCTCCCATCCCTGGGCCTCCGTTTAACCATCTGTAGCCTTAACTAGGGGAGACCAGGAACTGGCTGCCAGGTGGCTCCTAAAGTTTTTTTGAGGAACTCTGATGCCTGGGGTCCAGTCCAGAGCATGGGGGCTTCGGGCTAGCTCAGCCCACCTTTCTGTCTTCTGGTCCTCACTGCACCTAACCTTGTAACCCACTTGCCTAATTCAGATTCAGTGTGGGGCCTTGGTCCTGAACCTGCCTGGCTATGGGCCCAGGTTAGTGATAAGTAGAAATCTCCCACTGGACAGGCAGGAAAACCGAGGCTCAGTATAATACCTGCCCGGGTGTGCCCAGCAGGCCCAAGACAGGATTTGAACCCAGGCCTGCCTTGCACCAGCTCCGTGGTCTTCCCAGCAGGTGCCTTAATCTCTTAGGGTGTCTAGGGAACATTTCCCACTGTGGATGAGGCTTGGGGCTCAGCTGGCCGGCTGCCAAAGTGGCCATCAGGGTTTCCCGCTCCTTCCCCTGCCCTTGGGAACCAGCCGCCGAGGGAGGCCAATTCCACTCCGGCCCTTGCCTTTGATGCTTAGATGAAAGAGGTCATGTTGGCAAGCGCTGCTTTACCCTCAGGGCTGTGCCTGCTCCTGGAGGGCCCACCCGCAGTGCCCTCCTGCCCAGCTAGGAGAAAGAAACAGCTGTCCCTTGTCCATGGCAGTCTGGGTGGGCAGTTGGAGCTCACCGGTGGTCCTGCAGCAAACGGCCCTGACAGCGTGCTGCCCTGGGCAGCAGGCCTGCTCTGTCTCACAAGGCCACCACGTGACAAAGCTGAGTATGTTACCGGTGGTAGTGGCCGGCAGAGAAACTGCTGGACAGCCTGTTGTCTCCCTTGCTGCCCCCTGAAGACCCACTGTGGGCCTGGTGCCCAGTGGGCACCCTGCAAGAAGGGCCTCTCTGATTCATTGCACAGACGAAGAAATGGAGGCTTTGAGAAGTGAGGGATCTGGCCCAAGACCACTGAGAAGAGGTTAGCAGGCCTCCATCATCAATCCACCCCTCCCACGTCTTCAGACCCACCTTCTGACCTCCGCCCACTGCTCTTTCTGTCCCCCCTGCTGCCCCCTCAGGGCATCTGTGCAGGACTCGGCCCACGGACCTGGTGTTTGTGGTCGACAGCTCACGCAGCGTGCGGCCCGTGGAGTTTGAGAAGGTGAAGGTGTTCCTGTCCCAGGTCATCGAGTCTCTGGACGTGGGGCCCAACGCCACCCGGGTGGGCGTGGTCAACTATGCCAGCTCCGTGAAGCAGGAGTTCCCGCTGCATGCCCACAGCTCCAAGGCCACGCTCCTGCAGGCCGTGCGCCGCATCCAGCCGCTGTCCACTGGCACCATGACCGGCCTGGCCATCCAATTCGCCATCACCAAAGCCCTCAGCAATTCCCAGGGAGGGCGAGCCCGGTCCCCCCACATCAGCAAGGTACGTGCCCCGGCCTGACAGGGCTCCTGGCTTGGGGCCCACAGCTGTGCCCATGGCCACTGTCCTGTTGGGGAAAGGAGTGGCCAAGTGGGGCGGTCATTTGGCATTTGGCAGAGGCCACCAGTTAGAAGTGGCTGAGCTGAGATTCGAACTCAGATCTGCAGAGCCTCCTCCACCTTCTGCCCCCAGGAGCGCACACAGTCTGGGGAGCCCTTGATGGTGCCCCTGCCGGCTGATTTTGCTCACCAGCCTGTCGGAATTCCCGGAAGGCAGCAGGGAGAGCCTTAGATGCTGTTAAGGGTACGGCCCCCCGCAGTCACCAGTCTGGGCTCAGCCCTCTGCTCCACCACGCTAGCTGTGCCACCTTGGACAGGCGACTTGACCACACTGTGCCGTGGCTTCTTTGTTTGTCATGTGGAAGTAATAAGAACACTTCCTCAAAGGGCAGGATTGAGACTAGATGCATTAACGTGCTCAGAACAGTGTTGGGCACCTAAAGTGCCCCAGGGGAGCCTCGTGAAAAGGCCTTGGTAGCTCTGTGGGTCAGGTGCTGGAATCTAAGCATTCACTAGGAGCCAGCCCGTAGGGGTGAAGATCGCTACGCATTTGTACTGCTCTAAACTCTGAGAGACGATACCTCCGGCTGCCTGTGGTCTTATTTTGGTGGATCCGTGTGATGGTTCTTCTTGCCGTGGAGGAGGCTGACGGGACGTTGACGCTCTCCCGAAAAGCAGGTGGGGTCGCTGTGTGCTGGAGCTGACTTGGCAGTAACTGGTTTTGTGTGTTTCCAGCACAAGTGGGGTTTTTGTTTAGGAGCCCTTCGAGCGCAGGGGCTCTGGAGAGGGAAGCCAAGGGCGGCCCCCACATTGCCAAGTCAGCAAGGGCTGCAGGCAGCGTGCTGGAGGTTTGCAAAGACTTCAGACCCACATTTGACTATTTCAGGACTCAGGGCCCATGCTCCTATTCCCCCTTGGGCCTCTCACAGCTCCCTGCTCATCCCCATCAGCCTGTGTTGGCCTGAGGAGTCGAGATTTACCTGTTCGGGGCTTGGCCCGTGGGAAGGCCTAGTTCTCATGCCCTCCTGCTCCCCACAGTGCTAGCCACACGGCACAAGCCTGCCGTATGAGGGCCAGGTGAAGATCCTGTGGGAGGCAGGGAGGGCTTAAGCAACTTACCCAGCACAAAAGCTTTAGAAACACGCACAGACTCTAGTATTGCCACCACTCAAAGCAATGATCTATCAGGGCACCTGGGGGCCTCATTTTGGGGGGAATCCACTTGTAAGTTCCGAGTGCTGTAGAGGAGGCTGGTGAGAGGCTATGGTGGCCCTGGGGTGAGTCTAATGTGGAGATGGGGATACAGTCGTTATACCTCTAGTTAACCAGCACTCCCAGATCTGGCCAGTGCTTGGTGGTGGTGGTGGTGGTGGGCATCAGAGACCAGAGGTTCAGCCTGGAGGAACTAACAGAAGGAGGAGACTCAGGTGTGTGTTCAGATGGGGGGAGGGGAGTGGGGCAGTGACCCTGGTGTGGCACGTGGCAGTTCAGCGTTCCGTGGCAGCAGCTCTGGCTTCGGGAGGCATGGAGGGAAGAGGCTTTGCTGGAACCCCGCCACCCCATATGAAGAGTTATTCGACCATGAATTGCCTCACCCTGCACCCCACCACACCCCATTTTTACGCACGAGGAAACGGAGACTCGGGAAGGTGATGGGTAACTTGCAGTTCCGCATGTCTAACCTGGACATGCCTCAAAGGGGAGTGGGCCAGGCACCTGGGGCAAGAGAGGAGGCCTAGGAGTCGGTGCAGACCCCAAAGTTGGAAGCGGAGAAGTGTCCGATCCCAAGCAGGAACCAGGGTCGTGAACACCCCCCAGTCAGGTCAGGCTCTGGCAGGGGTCCTGGCACCAGGCTCTCCTCGCTGTCGGTCCCTCTTCTCAGTATAAGCAGAGGCCCCCTGTGGGAGGGGCAGGGATTCCATTCTTCCGTGGAGGGGGAGGGGGAGACCCTGGGGGTGAAAGGAACAAAAGGCGGCAGCTACTGTTCTTTGCTCATCCCCGTGGGAGCAGTGCCGCGCCACGCTCTGCACCCAGAGAGGACTCCTTCCCAGGACGCGCAGGCAGGGGATGGCCATGCTGGCTGCATCAGCTCCCGTCCCTGATCCCTGGCCTCTCTCTGGTGGTCACAGGCAGAACTGCACGGGCTTGGACGCCCCTTTGACTCCAGGCTAAGAGTAAACCACCCATCCCGAAGGAATAGAGACGCCCTGGACTAGGGCAGACCGGGGAGCCTTCCGGAGCCTCTGAGAGCGCATGCTCCCTCCAGGCGGCTTCCACCGGCGGGACTTCAAGCAGCCGCAGCATCTCCGGCACCCCCGATCCTAGGGCACGGGCACTTTGTCCACAGTCTGAGGCCCTCGGAGGTAGCCCTTCTAAGGGGACTGCCAGGACCCCGCCCTTTGGCGACCGCAGCTCTGCGCTGAGAGAGGAGTCACCTTCTTCCCAGAAGAAATCCATCTTAAGCCCTCAGTCGGCCACGCCCCCCTCTCTGGGGAACGCCCACTTGCAAAGCGCTAGCGGGGCGCCCCGGGCCTCTCACTTGGCTTCTTCGGGCCTCAGTTTCCTCTTCTGTCACCTGTTCTGCGGGGAGGGCTCTGTCCTCACGCGCGCTCCCTTGTGGCAGGTGGTCATCGTGGTGACCGACGGGCGGCCCCAGGACAGCGTGCGGGACGTGTCTGCGCGGGCCCAGGCCAGCGGCATCGAGCTGTTCGCCATCGGCGTGGGCCGCGTGGACAAGGCCACGCTGCGGCAGATGGCCAGCGAGCCGCAGGACGAGCACGTGGACTACGTGGAGAGCTACAACGTCATCGAGAAGCTGTCCAAGAAGTTCCAGGAGGCCTTTTGCCGTGCGCTGGAGGCGGGGCGGGATTTGGACCTGGGTGGGAGGGACCTAGGCGTTGGGGGCGGGGCCAGAACTAGAAGGGGCGGGCACAATACGGGCTAGGCAGGTTAGGAGTGTGAGAAACAGCAAAAGGGGCGGGGTCAGGGCGGTGTAGGGCCCAGCGCTGGGCTTTGGTCTCTACCAGGTGGGCGGGACTTGGAGAGAGCATCAGCAGCTGGGCCAGAGCGGGATCCGATTCCCGGGATGGGCTCCCCCGAAGTGGGCTGTGTCCTTGCTGGGAGCCCCCCGGGAGTTTTCTTTCTATCATTAGCTTGATGACCTAACGCAGGGGTCTTAGGATGGGTGGGGCCCAGGCCCAGGCCCCACGCAGGTGGGGACCTCATTTTCCCTCACTGTGCATAAGGCCTGGTCTCCACGGTCAGTGCAGGGTGTCCTGGTTGGGCTGTCTGAGGACCCGTGATTCTGAGACTCGCTTGTCCACGCAGTGGTGTCGGACCTGTGTGCCACCGGGGACCATGACTGCGAACAGGTGTGCCTCAGCTCCCCGGGCTCCTACACTTGCGCCTGCCGTGAAGGCTTCACCCTCAACAGTGACGGCAAGACCTGCAACGGTCAGTGGGCTGGGCACAGCCGGGCCTGGGGGAGGGCAGGTCTGTGTGGCAAGAGAACTGTGGCCACTCCCAGGAGGCCCCTTGAGCCTCCCTGCCCTGTGCTCTGTCCCTCTCCGAAAACAGTGTCATTCAGAGCTTGTCATTTCTCCCCTGACTCCGCCCCCCTCTAGCACCCCGGTGGTGGGTTTAGTGCGATTGCAGGACCCAGACCGTGGAGTTCAAAGCTGTTCCAACTGTTCCCCGTGTTCAGATGCTGGATTTCTGGAGTGTCCAGGAGTAGTCTCAGCATCAGATGCGGTCTCACTTCAGAGGGGACAGTGACTTGGGTCCGCCCAAAGCTGAATCCCATGAGGTGGAGGTCAGACATATCTCCACTCTCCAAACACTCCCCGATTCTGACTACAGCTGCCCCTCCAACGGTACTCTTTCCCCTCTCCTGGGCGTGCTAATCTGTTCCAATAGCCACACGGAGCACACTCACAGAGCACACTTACGAATCTGCCGCCGAGTCAATTCTGACTCACTGACTCTACACCACAGAGTAGAACTGCGCCCAAGGGTTGCTGAGACTGTCAATCTTTAAAGGAGGAGACAGCCTTGTCTTTCTCCCACAGAGTGGCTGGTGGCATTGAACTGCCGGCCTTGTAGTTAGCAGTCCATTGCATAACCAACTTTACCACCAGGGCTCCTTGACCATGGTTTATGACCTTGAAGTGGTTTACGAAGGAAGTGACAAGGTAAACTCGGGGTCAGAACAAGACGTCTTTAGGCAAAGTCACCCTTCTTCAGTGCCGGCCTGCGCTCTCAGCTTCTGGGCTATGCAGGCTCCTTCTGGCCCCCACTGTGAGCAATATCAGCTCTGCCGCTGGGCCCCTGCCAGTCTGCTGCCAGCCCCAGGGTTAAGGCCCCCGACCAATGTCATAGCTCTTTTAGGAGGTCACTTGCCTCCTCTTCCTCTCTCTTTTTCTTGGTGCTTCCCCCCTTGCTTCTTTCTGTCTCCAAACATCCTCTGTGCGGTTGGCCACTTAACATATTTACATACAACTCCTAGTCAATTTCAAAGGCTGGCTCCCCTGAGCTGAGTGCCACACACCAACCAATCCCCTCTTGATAGGCCTTAGACACTTCATTTGAATATCCTCACTACAACTCACCTCACTTGCATAGTGTATTGACCGGTCCCTGCAAGGTAAGGTGCATACCCATGTATACCAATCACAGGCCAGGCTGCAGACCAGACCTGGATCAAACATATCCAACCAAGTTGCTTTCCGTTGACCCAGAATATGAATCCACCCTCTCGGGCAGCCAAGTAGGGGCACAGGAAACGTTCTGAGTTTAGGGGGAACATCTGGTTGTCTCCCATCACCAAGGCAAAAGGCCACAGAAAGGAGTTCCTTCCCCACACAGAGGGAGGGAAGTCTGAAGACAAACTGGAATGGGTCCCCGTGACTCACCCAGCACAGAGCCTGGCAGGGAGTGGGGGCGGGGATGCCCAGTAAGGGGTCTGGATGGGTGGTCCCAGCTGTCAGCTTCATCCCTTGCTTTCCTGCCCTCCCCAGTTTGTGGTGGCGGCGGCGGCAGCAGCTCAGCCACCGACCTGGTCTTCCTCATCGATGGTTCCAAGAGCGTGAGGCCAGAGAACTTTGAGTTGGTGAAGAAGTTTATCAACCAGATCGTGGATACGCTGGATGTGTCCGACAAGCTGGCCCAGGTGGGGCTGGTGCAGTACTCGAGCTCTGTGCGCCAGGAGTTCCCGCTGGGCCGCTTCCGCACCAAGAAGGACATCAAGGCGGCCGTGCGGAACATGTCCTACATGGAAAAGGGCACCATGACCGGGGCTGCCCTCAAGTACCTCATTGACAACTCCTTCACGGTGACCCGCGGGGCCAGGCCCGGGGCCCAGAAGGTGGGCATTGTCTTCACAGATGGCCGGAGCCAGGACTACATTAACGACGCCGCTAAGAAGGCCAAGGACCTTGGTAGGTGCCGCCTGGCTGACCTAGGGCTCCGCTGATGCCCAGTGGCACACGGGACACAGCTACATTGTAGTTTATCCTGGCGTTTCTTCCGATTTGGGCGTTAAACCCTGGGTGAATTTAAATGGGGAGGGATGGGCTAGTCCTGATGATAAAACTGAGGCCCCAGAAAAGCTTTGCAGATCCTTTTGGGGGCCAGCTTGGAACTTTTCTGGTTAAATGGTTGCTCCATTCAAGAACACACCAACTGCTAGTTAGGCTATCTACCCAAACATGGGGCAAGCCTGAGCCTCGGTTTTTCACCTATTTAATGACTATATTAAGAACCACTGAACAGATAAGTTTATTGGTGTTAGGTGATATTACAACACTCCCCATTCAAAGCCTGACATACAGTAGAACTTCAACAAATGTTGATCTGCTCACTTTCTTTGTCCGAGGCACTGTGCCTGTAATTCCTACAGCTGCCACTAGGAGATGTCTGCTATTGGCCGTCTGGCTCTTCCCCAGGAGGCTCAGCCGTGGCTCCCCGATCCCAGAGCTTGCCTTACAACTATTGGTTCTCCTGGCAGGCTTTAAGATGTTTGCTGTAGGCGTGGGCAATGCGGTGGAGGACGAGCTGAGGGAGATCGCCTCGGAGCCCGTGGCAGAGCACTACTTCTACACGGCTGACTTCAAGACCATCAACCAGATTGGCAAGAAATTGCAAATGAAGATCTGTGTGGGTGAGCGAGGCGAGGGCCAGCGTAGTAGAAGGGGGAGGTGGGGCTCTTTGGGGGACAGGGTCGTCCTGGGACTGGATGTGAGCAGGGGAATGCAGGGGATAGGGTGGTATCGAGAGTCGGTAGAACCAGGTATGGCCAGTATGATGGTTACTACTACCCATGCTATGCCAATGGGCTCCAAATTTGAAAGCATTCTCTCTATTTGGTAGGAATATTATTACTCCCATTTTACAGGGGCAGGGGGAACCAAGGTCAGAGGGGTAGAATCATTGTTAGTCCCAGGGAGAGCTGGGGTCTAAACCCTGCTGCCCCTCCTGGCCCTCCCTGGTGACCCGCTGGCCCTGATAGTAACGATGACAGGTTCCAGACCCGGGGACACCAGGGCTTGCATCTTTGCTCAGACACTACCTTGACTTTGGCCATGGGCAAGCTGTTTCACGCCTCATTTCTTCATCTGTAAAATGAGGTTAATGATTTCAAACCCAAAGGGGTCAGGTGAGGAATTATTCAGCTAACCTAGAGGCTCCCAGCAGTGTCCTATACACAGTAGGTGCTCAGTGCGTGGGAGATGTTTTGGGGGTTCATTATCAGGGCATGGAGGAAGTTCAAAGTTGTCTGAGGTGTCTCTCCCCCTCACTCCTAGGAGGTCTGTCTCAGGGACTTGATATCTCTCTGGCTCCTCAGCATTCCCTCGTCCTGACTGTGGGCATGACCCCTGTTCCCAGGGCTAATGCTCACCATCTTCTCTCTCTCTCCCTGCCTCTCCTCTCACTCCAGAGGAGGACCCGTGTGCCTGCGAGTCCATTGTGAAGTTCCAGACTAAAGTGGAGGAGCTGCTGCAAGCTCTGACCCGGAAGCATATCCTTTCCCAGGGATCCTGTGTGATTGGGCTGGAGGAGACAGGGAGGGAGGATGCCCTATGATGACTGTCCAGGGTATGATCAGATAGACGGACACCAGCTTTGGTGCTGACCCTATCAAGATCAGATCATACTGGACCCTGTCAGAGAAACTGAGGCTGGAGGTTAGGTCTGGACACACAGAGTCCTGGACACGTCAGAGCATACGACACAGGCTGATGGTGACATGACTGGTGCAGCCTATCAGAGGGGGCAGTGCAAGGTGGGGGTGGGGTGGGGTGGCGAAGCCCTGTCAGGGCTAGGCTGAGGACCCAGCGGGCGAAACTTGTAAGAGACAGAGCAGGGCACTAGCCTCCACAGTGCTTGGGAAGGACCACTGGGTGGATACGTTTTGACATAGGGGAGAACCCTAGCTATAAGGCAGCCTTGGGGTTGAGAGAAAGTTCTGGGAGGGGGCAATCTAGAGGAAATAAGAAGAGGGGAGGCCCTGGTCTAAGTACCACTCTCCTCCCCTCTCTGATCTGGCCGACCTGCACCTCTCCTTGACTGAGCCCCACTGGAAGCTTTGAGCAAGCGGCTGGCTCTCCTGGAGAACAGAATCGTCTAAGACCCCTGCCCGGCTGTGGCCTTTCCATGTGCTGCAGCCTGGAGGGGCTCAGAGAGTCCTGTGGGTGTCTCCCACCGCCCCCACTTTAGTCTAGCTGTGCCATTTCAGCGAGGGAGGCTCTGCAGGTGCAGGGCCCTGGGTGCGCCTTCCTGGCCTCTGCTATCCCAGAAACCCGTGGGAAGGGGGAGGTATGGTGTGTGTGTGTGTGTGTGTGTGTGTGTGTGTGTGTGTGTGTGTGTGTGTGTGTGTGTGTATGCTCACTCCAAGGGGTGAGCGTGTGTCTCACTGCAGGAATGTGTGTGTGTGTGTGTGTGTGTGTGTGTGTGTGAGTGAAAACCCGGGGGTGAGTGTGAGCGGAACTTCGTTTGCATTTTTTAATCAAAAGCTTAATATATTCCCCCCCCCCCCATTTAACCTTTCTTGATTTCAAGTGCTGTGAATTTTTTCTTTCTTTCTTTCTGGTTTTGCTATTCCCTTTTGAAAAAAAACAAAACAATTAAATGTGATTTAACGTAAGCCCTGCATGGGGCTAGAGGCAGCGTGGTCATTTGGGAATCAGAAGGCTGGATAAGGGTGCAGTGATGGGGGTGATGGCGACAGTGGTGGGGACCGTGGTGACAGACACGACACCCCGAAACAGCTTACGGTTGTCCTGCCCTTCCGGGTTCAGCTGTCCTCACATGGCCTCTCCCCAGGAGCTGCATCAGGCAAGGCAGGCGTGTGTCACCCCCACTTTACAGACGGGAAGACTGAGCATGAGGGGGGACGAGACTTGCTCAGCAGTGTGTCTGTTGGAGAGACAGGCTGCGAAGCAAGGGCTGAGCTCACCAAATAGGGGGGACGCACTGGAGAAGGGAGGCGATGGTACCAGATAAAACGGGTTTGTTCATTAATTTGTTAATCCACTAAATTCATTCATTTGTTCTAAGATACTTCATGCTAGGCAGTGGGGAGAGGGTGGTGGGTGGGACAGACATGGTAGGGTTGAGTCGGGCACCTACATCACCCTCACCCCAGTTAGAGTCAAAGACAGTGGGCTCAGGCTTTGCCAAGGGCTCTGCCTCCCTCGGGCACACTTCTTGGTGTCCTCTCTGTTGCTCCCTTGGCAGCTTCGACCCCCTCCGCGGCCACAGCTGCCCCTCCACCTCAGGAACTGCAACCCCAAAGGTGAGACTCGTTACCCCAAGCTTTCCTGCTCCCAACCCTGCCCAGACTCTGCCAGCCCCTCCCGGAGGCCCCAGGCCTTCTGGAGATTGCCTCTCTGGCCTCCTAGTGCCCCGCCTCTCAGAGTGGGGACCCATTCTTGTGTAACGGAGCAGTTCAGCGCTACCATTTGATCTGGATTTGAGAGCACATAAAGACAAGAAGCTCAGTCACCCCCCAAATCCTGCTTAGAAGTTGTTCCAGGAGGCAGGATGACAATACTAACCTGCGCCACAGACTGCACCACAGTGCAGCCGTCCGCGCAAGAGCAACCTAGCAGTTGCACCCCTGCCCTTCTGCCCTGGTGATCCAACCAGCACTAGGCACCCATTCCATGGAGCCCTTTCTCCGTGCCAGGCTTTTCTGCACTGGCTCCCCCCCCCAGCCCACATTGCCTTTGTCCTGAAATTATCTGCCTGCTGATTTTGGTGGATTGGCCTCCAGTGGATGCCCGGCCCAAGGTGGGCCAAGCAGGCTCTCGCATCTGAAAGTTTAGACTTAGAGCCGAGAGGTCTCCATCTGAGAGGCAGGGGGTTGGAGGTCTCCTTTCCCAGAAAAAGGTCAAAGCAACATTTCCCTGGGGGTGCTGGGGACTCTCCTGTCCAAGGAAAACTCGAGCATATTGGCTGAACACGGCAATCTATGGTTGACACGATTCTGCAGGCTGAGTTCAGCGGGGCGGGTTCTGCTCCGTGTGCTACAGACTGGGGCACGGCCATCAGGGGCTCAGTTCCAGTGTAGCTCCTCACATGACTGGCGGGTTGGTGGAGCCAACTGGAAGGCGGGGCCCCTCCCACTGGCCATGTCTCTTCCTCTCCACCTGGGTTCTCTAGCACGAGTGCTGGATGTTTTTCATGGCAAAGATTTCTTTCATTCTCTATGTGGGCTTTCATGCTCCAAGGGGCTTCCATACGCTTCTGAAGGTGGAGGCCAAGGAGTGGTCCAGGATGAGTCTCACTGTATCCCATTAGTTAGAACCCTTATAGGCAACCTGGATGCAATGCGCAGGGAGGTAAAGCCCAATGGGGTGGGGGTGGGAGGAGAGTGACACAGAATTCATGGTCATCTTTAATCCATCCCATGCTGTCATTCCCTGGTCTCTGTCACCAGATCAGACTGTACTCTCTGCCTTGACACACACACACACACACACACACACACACACGACACCCAGTAGAACTCAGCAGATTGAGGACATCTCTGTTTCAGCTCCTGGTCTCTGTCACCAGATCAGACTGTACTCTCTGCCTTCACACACACACACACACACACACACACACACACACACACACAC